TCCTTCTGTAACAAATCTGGTACACGTTATCTATGGTCTGGTCCCGTTAAAGTTTGTGATAGTCTCTCCTTGATGGTCTAAAGCACATACATGAAGCTTTAGTAAAAATTCAGTTGTTTTTGTTATTTGTAGCTTTTTTCTTTGCATGTGTTTGCAATGATTTTCCACTTTGCTGTTCTTTATTTTTCTTCTTTGCAGCATTTTTCCTTTACATTTGTGTAATATTTGGTTCACTGTGTCCTCCTTATTCTCCATTCATTTTTTTCATGTCAATGACTGACACAGAGCTCGCTTTACACGTGTGAAAGCTTCTGTCCAATGCAGCACAGTGACACTACTGTGATCCCATTATTTATTTCTCTCACAATACAAATTAAAACACAACTTCCTCCTTTTTGACTAAACTGCATACAAATATTTTTCCGTACAAATATTTAAAATCCAAAATAGCACAAATGAAATGCATTTTTTTAGTGATTTATACAAAAATAAATATATATATATATATATATATATATATATATATATATATATATATATATATATATATATATATATATATATATATATATATATATATATATATATAAAAAAGATTAATACATAACATAAATCCTTTATGTATGTAAGCGTTATGTAGTGGAGCATACAATGTGTTTTGTGTGTTCGGCTTATTTTTGTGTTTGCAGTACTTTTTGTATTTATTGCAAATTAATTAATTTGCATCACATTTGTATCCATCGACCACTGTATCATACAAAAAAGTTTAAAAATAGAACATATTTTGAATATAAAATAACATTTGTGTATGCAGTTGGTATTCCAGAGGAATGATTTATCAATTGCATTGACAGGGTAGACTGTTTTTAGTAGATTAATGGATATTTAGATCAAACCATTGACCCTCAGGCTCAAGAAAGCAGGGGCTGATCTAGAAGGGGGGCATCAGCTAATCACCATTAACTGATTTGTTGCTCCCACTGGAATCACCGCTGCTGGAACAGGCAGTTATCCTCTAAACCAGAAGGTGGCAGCAGTGATACCATCATGTGGAATGTCCTACTTTTCAAAGTTAGTACGTTAACCAAAAACTAACAACAAATGATTCGCACAGCAATATACTAAGGTTAAATAATTATTAATTAATCTTATTTAATCTAATTTAATCAGATTCCTTATTAAAGCGGACTGATGCTGCATCCAGCCCAAATGCTTTGACCAACAGGAACATGCAAAGTCAATGATTGATGTGCATGAAGTTGCCTCAAAAGGTTCTGCAGCAAATATCAAGCAGCTGGAGCAGCACGTTATGAGGATCTAAAAATCTGAGGCGCTTCAGGCTGCAAAGCTGGCAGTGATCAAATAGGAAAATCTGAACTCCCATGCCACAACAAACCAATCTGAGAGAGGCTTTGCAATGTGACGTTGGTGTCCTGGTAGGTTATGAAGGGACCAATGCAAGTAAGCAGGTCATCAGACTAGGAGGAGGTACTAGTAACTCTTGAAGCGACACTCGTCACCTTGCAGATTTTTCCCTGAAGTAGCTGGTGAATCCAGACAAACCACAGATCCGTCCTCCCAGCACCTGTAAAGGCTGATTTCTACTTTGAAACTAGGTGTTGCGGTGAACGCAGAGACGTCCCCGCCCTCCTCCGCAGACACTCTGCTACACCTCTCCCAAATTGTAGGTGACCGCAGACAATCCCACAGAAAGCAGGCCTCTGATTGGTCAGCGCTAGAACACTGGGACCCTTTTACACCCTGGATCCCCGCTCTTTTTCGCCCTCATGTCCCCCCCTTATTGGAAAAACTTGCCCCCATTTCCTCACCGCCTTGGCCGTATCTAGACCCACAGCTAGTTTGTAATTTCCCCATTTTGCATTGTGGTGTGGAATGAACATAGTGCAGACCACGCTTCAACATTGAGTATAAATAAAAAATGTTTGCGTCATACCTGCTTCAAGCTCACTGCGACACACTGCTGCGGGAGAATAACCAGGCCTTAAGAGCACCACTGTTCCAAACAACCTCAATAAGTTGTTACATCCATGCTGATTTTGCTGTTTCTACTTTAGTTAGTTAAATAACATGCTGCTGTCATTTTACATATCTCTGATGTTGCTGCTACTTTCAAATATCCATTACTGTTAAAATCTCCATAGCTGTATATTGGTTATTTATTCTCCAGGTGCACAGTATTTATATAGGTAAAACACTTTGCAGCACAGTATTTTATTTGTTTATTTTTTAACTTCAGTATTATGTTATTCTTATTTTTTTAACAATCTGTTTGCTACTGTAAAAAACAGAATTTTCCCATTGTGGGACGATAAAGGAAATTTTCTAATCTATTCTATTCTAAATCAGTCTACCACTGCATAAAACTAACTACATGGGCACAAGCAATGGAATAACGACATAACAATAGGCACGTAAGCAACATTATCTGGGTGGGCCCCATATGAAGTTTTTTCTTTTCTTCCAGCACCTCTTCTTTGCTTGTTCTTTTCTGGAATCTGCTTAAGTACCTCTTTTTGGTATCCATTGTCGCTAACACATTGTACGTAACGATAATGGTTTTAATCTACGTTCTGGATTACCCATAAATCCAAGTCGTAGTGTAAAAAATAAAATACTCAAATACATTGTTCTTTAAAGATCTTTATTGTGGTTTGAAACATATTATATGAGTGTATTTTTTTTACCAACCGTCTAATTAAAAGGACGACTGTGTGCTTTGCTATTGGTGTTGTGTTTAAATGGCTCACTATCCTGTTAAAATCTGCTATGTCTTGGGGTATAAATACGGCCAGGTGCAGACAAGTTAGTGTCAGGAGGGTTTAAGAGGAATTTTTCGTACCATTACATCTGCATAGAGACATCCTAGACCACATTTGCGTAGGGGGGCAACCAGATGTCGGTGACGGGGCCCCTAAGAGGTCGGACCCCCTAAGCAACTGCAGTCTCTGCTTACTGATAGTTACACCACTGCTTCAGTATTGTGTTATTCTTAGTCTTTTTCTATAATCTGTTTGCTATTGTAAATACTACAATTTCCCCATTGTGGGACAATAAAGGGAATTTTCTATTTATTAGGTATTTTTATTAGTATTAGGGCCAAGCTAGAGATTCTTTTTTTCTTCTATTTCAAGAATAAAGTCGTAACATTACGAGAATAAAGTCGTAAATTACGAGAATAAAGTAGCAAAGAGAATAGTCATAAAATTATGAGAATAAAGTCGTAAAATTCCGTGAATAAAGTCAATACATTACGAGAATAAAGTCGTAACTTTACGAGAATAAAGTCAAAACATTAGGAGAACAAAGTCTTAAAATTACGAGAATAAAGTCATAAAATTACGAGAATAAAGTTGTAAAATTACGAGAATAAAGTGGCAACATTACAAGAATAAAGTCGTAAAAGTACGAGAATGATGTAATAAAATTACGAGAATAAAATTGCAGTGAGAATAGTCGTAAAATTACGAGAATAAAGTCATAAAATTACGAGAATAAAGTTGTAAAATTAGGAGAATAAAGTCAAAACATTACAAGAATAAAGTCATAATAGTATGAAAATAAAGTCATAAAATTACGAGAATAAATTTGCAGCGAGTGATTAAATTACAACAATAAAGTCGCAACATTACGAGAATAAAGTTTTTCAAATTCCGAGAATAAAGTTGCTGTGAGAATAGTCATAAAATTACAAGAATAAAGTAAAAAAAATTATGAGAATAAAGTCGTAAAATTACTAGAATAAAGTTCTAAAATTCCGAGAATAAAGTTGCAGTGATAATAGTCATAAAATTAATAGAATAAAGTAAAAAAATTATGAGAATAAAGTCGTAAAATTACTAGAATAAAGTTCTAAAATTCCGAGAATAAAGTTGCAGTGATAATAGTCATAAAATTACTAGAATAAAGTCATAAAATTCCGAGAATAAAGTCGTAAAAATACAAGAATAAAGTTCTAAAATTCCGACAATAAAGTTGCAGTGAGAACAGTCATAAAATTACTAGAATAAAGTCATAAAATTACGAGAATAAATTCGTAAAATTACGAGAATAAAGTCGTGACATTACGAAATTATAGATTTTATGAAAACTCTAAAATGAGGAATGTCGAGCATTATATCAAGTTATACTTTGGCTCTGGTTTGATAGATAAAGAAATGTTTTAGCTCAGCAGCATCAAATTGGGCAGGAGGTCAAAGTGGACTGAGGTGGCTGTTTGGTGGAGCTGGTTGGCCATATGGTGTCGGAGCTCAAAGCTTTCTTTCTGAAACGGGTTATGATGATGACTTCGTCCTGGTAATATTATTACTTCATTCTGGTAATAATACGACTTTATTCTCAAACTAGAAGAAAAAAGAAATCTCTAGCCTGGCCCTAATACTCTGTCGTAACATCCGTCTCTGCCTGGATACCCCTATGAAAACTTTCTAGAACCGCCACTGCATACATGGGCACAAGTTAAAGCCCAGATTACTCTTAAGTAATTTGTTCAACTGAAGTAATTTTCTATCAGCTTGGTCCCCATCCCCCCTAATCAGAAAAAACCTATCTGCGCCCCTTTTTCATAACGCAAAGTTCTGGACTTTTCTCTCTTTTTTGAAGGTTTTCTTCCTGTCATCTTTAGAAAGATCTGTTTGGAGGGTTAATTCAGACTATATGGATATTCTTTAATGTTGGCTGTTTCTTATTTGGCTGCAGTTGGCCTTTCTGTGTCGCTGCTCCGGGTGTGAGGCAGCTGTCCTGGAGGGAGGAGGCAGGCAGAGGGAGGAAGGAAGCGGAGATAACGTCACGAAGACACGGAGTAAATCTGGCTGAGCAGCGCTTAATGGACGACCCTTGATGCGGGCCGGAGGAAGGCAAAAACTGGACACACTTATTAACATTTTCTCCTAACATTAGAACAAATAAAATATGCATTCCGAAAGCGAAGAGGTGTGACGCCGCCAGGAGAAGGAGGCAGACAGCAGTAGTAGATTTTAATCCTTCATTTTTTTTCCAGAGCTCCACTAAAGCGCAGAAATGGAAATGTGTGGAGCCCTGCTCGGTTCCTCTGCCCACTGATCGCGACACACGGAACTTTTTGTCCACATTTATTTATTTTTCTTAAAGAGGATCGACCCTGAATTGCATCTTTAAGGCGTGTAAAAAAAACACGCATTTCAACCCTCCACGGCATTTCGGAGACGTCGCTCTGAGTGATCATTGAAGCCCATCGGGAGAATTAACAGGTAGCCTCCCTTTATTAAGCCTGCTCTGCGCTAAGATGGCTGGGTGGGAGGGGGCTCCATCTTTTATGGGAAATAGATTTAATAGGAAATAGGTTGATTTGTATTTTTAGATTCTCACATAGCTATAAAACTGCAGTGCTGATCATGCATCCACATCCATCTCCCATGAAGCGCTGCTTTCTCTCCCTTTATTTCTGGCCTGCATCTGGACGCTGCTGAAAGCACATCCTACACATTTACATCTGCTCCATCAGACATGCAGCAGTTTAAAAAAAAAGCCTCTGCACTCCTCTCCAAGCTGCAGATGTGACCATCCTGTTAGTCCCAACATCAGTGCATCCAGGAGGGGTGGGGTGGGATCTGTGAATTCCTGTCTTCTTGTGTTGAAGACACAAGAAGGCTAGATAGAGGTAAAGCCTCCAGTCCTCTGCTCTGCTTTGCATCAGTGCAGGAGGAATCTGCACCAACAGCCCAGATGATGCTCATAAGGAGCTAAGGTTTACACATGAGCATCTGGCTGGACTCATCCAGGCCTGATCTCTGATGTGTCCTCCTCTACCTCCACCTCCTTCCTCAGTCTTTCTCCTCCTGATTGGCTAAACGAGCAGCTGTGTCAGGAGATGGATACCCATCATGCATCCCATCCTCCTTTGGCTTCCATTAGTGCTGTGTGATCCATCTGGTCACAGGCCTCTCCAGGGAAATGTAGTCTACGGTGGCTTAATGTTCTTGTAATCTGAATGGTTACATGTAGAGCTAGATCAAGATGTTGGTGGGGCTCCTCTTCCAGTTGGGATTTTTTAAGGCCACATCTGGGCCTTAAAATGTCCAGAATAGACTTGCAGGCACAAGGTTCTCCTTAGAGTTTGACTATTTTGACATCAGTCTAACTGATCACAGATATGTGCTGCCGATTCTTTAGTCAGATGTTGCTTTTTCTTTCTCCATTTACAATTTTAAACGATAATGATAATAATGTTATGCAAGTCTAAATGTAAACAAAAGAAGCATTTATTAATAAAAGAAAATACTAATGGATAGCAAATGTCTAATATGACCATATGCATATATGCTGATACGCAAGGATGGATCAGCCTATAGCAGTGGAAGAAGAAACAGCAAATATCAGCTGACTCTTTATCATACCCGGATACTAACCCTACTAGCTAACCCTAAAGGCAAGCAGCGTGTAAAATCTAATGTAATTAGACTTTCAGAGAACAAATTGGGAGGAGTTCCTTATAGTGGGATGTAGTTTTGGGTTTCAGGGTGGTGCCGATGTTGGCTGATCCAAACAAACATACTACACAGTACGCTTTGATGCAAAAGGTTTGTACAACAGCAGGAACCAAAGACCACTTTAAAAGAGCCAAGGTCCTAAAAGTCCATCCAGGTAACTCAGAAAGTGATTTCTGGTTTGGCCACGCCAACAGAAAGCCTGTTTGAGTTCACTTCCAGTTAATAAAGGAAAATAAAAATCTTACTAAGGCCTGGGTTGGGGCTAAGTGAATGAAAGCAACTGGAAAAGACCAAGATTAGAGTGAGCCTGAGTAAGACTGTTAAAGGAGAAGTCCAGTCAGCAAGTAATGATCCATTGATCATTACTTGCTGATCATTACCTAAAACTAATATATTCATGGTGATTTAATGAATTAAGTGTTAATCAGTAAAAAAAGTAATAATTTTCGGCTCGATCACTGAGTCCGGGAGCGGCCATTTTTGGACAAATATAGTAACGCCTAACTCCTGACATCTCCAGGTAGTGATGTCACAGTGCGGTAAGCCGAGCGCCATTCTCCCCATTTTACAAACAAAATCAATGGGAGCTACTACTCTGCAATCGACAACAATTATATAAGATTTCCAGAGGACTTAACCATTGAAATTCGCAAGAGCTACAAAGTGACAACGCCCCCATGCATGGCAGTTGGATGTTGTAATACATCGGGTAAAAGTGGGGGAAAAAAGTGTTATTTCACCTTTCCAATTCATGATCCTCCACGGACAGGTTTTTCGTTGGATTGCCAAATTAAGGAGGGAGGATTGGCCACTGAACTTCTGACCAGAGAGAAAACACATAATATGTAGCCAACATTTTGAAGAAGATTGTTTTCAAGATGACTTGGATAATAGCGCGTTGTGACATTGGGACTTGCTCAAAAGCCTCCAGTAAAGCACATTCAAATGAAAATTACTCTTAATTATAAACACTTATCATTTATTGAACAGTATGTAATCCATTTCATATTTAAAGTACTTTCAGAAGTTTGAACTCTGAATATGACCGGACTTCTCCTCTAAGCTGAATACGTCTTGTTTGGAAACTGAATTAGAAACCTCTTGTGTCTGCTAATGTGATCTAATTGAGAAACCAACCTGATATTGAATGTTTTTGACATTGTATTTTATTCAATTTTATTAAATTTACTGTTAAATATATTGTGGAGAAAATTAAGTTTAACCAGTGAATGTAACCCAATCATGGGGGCTTTTGGTGAAATTCTCAAGCCCACCACCCACCTGCAGCCTCTGCACCAATAACATCTCCCTCTACAGTCCAACCTGGACTGTTTGCATTTTAGGTTTTGTTTACTATAAGCTGCAGTTTAAACTGTCATGTCTTGCGGAGGTTTTTGGAGGGTAACAAGATCCAATGATTTCTAAATGCCACAGTCCTTCTCAGTCAAACTCAGATTTGCTTACTTTTAAGTATTTTGAAGAAGAAAAGGGTAGTTTTAAGCTGCCTGCTGATTTGACAGAAGGATGTCCATCTTTTGCTTTGCAGTTTATTCATAGCCCTTTATTTGCAATTTCCATTGTGAATTAAATATCTAATCTTTAATTAGTTTACAAGTTTAATTCCTCCCGATAAGTAGGCTTCTTTAGTGTTTGCTGGCCGGTTGCCAGGCCCGCTAATGCTAATGCTAACCAAAACATCCGTTTTTAAAAGTTCAGATGAAAAGCTACAACCTCTATGTAGCTTCCGAGCCTCTATTTTTTTTAAATCGATCCAGGCCTTAATATATCATAGTATTCCTAAAACCTTACATATTGCCATTTGTGATGCTATACATTAAAAATTATAATTACTTCAAAAAATATGTATCCATGGTTACATTTTTCACCCATGGAGGTCTCCATTTTTTCACATCTGCAATGCATGCTGGGTAAATAATTAGGTTAGGTCTGGCTGGACTGAAACCTACAGAGTAAACACAGGGAGGCTAACATAAACATATGCATTTGTCGTATTGCGTTTGACTGTAAATTCAGACAAAGCCACACTGCGTTACCACCTCAAAGATTTCATGAGCCGTTATACATGACATAACTGGAAATTAAAACCTGTGACCTGCTTGTGATCTACTGTTTACTATATTAGCTAGAGCTAACACCATCAACAGATGCTAATGTAGAGCCAAAATCAAATCAGAAGATAATAAACGACTGCTTAAAGTGACAGTAAAGCATCTTTTGGTCTTTGTAGCACATCTTTCTAATATATCTAAGAAAAAGTTTTGATCCCAATGCTAACCATTAAGAGCCTCAGTTAGAAACTGGAGTTCTTTGTAGCATAGCTCTCCATCTGGGTTAGCATCTCCTAGCAGCAGCTTCTTCAGCCAACTCTCCCCTCTTCCTCCATTTGGTCCTCCTCCTCATCTTTCATCACCTCTTGTCATTTCTACATTCTCAACTATTTCAACACGCTCGGGTTCAAAAGGAAAAAGATTTAATGTTTCTTATTGCTGTTTTTGGCTGGATGGAGCTAATGCTACAGGACCTAGCATACGTCATTTATCCAGAATTCATTACAGTGTAAACAACAGGGTCCATGCGACTATATTTTATTTAAGTGTATTAAAACTAAAAGCTTACAATAAATTTCCTGCACTGTATTTACTCTTAAAATAAATGTTTCTCAAATAAAGACTATTTTTAGTTTCAGTTAAAACTGGATCCCTTTAAATCTGTAGGGCGACAGTGGCGTTGGATGTAGGAGTTTGCCCTGAAATCGAAGGATTGACGGTTCAAGCCCCGACTCCGACTTTCAGTGTCGTTGTGTCCTTGGGCAAGACACTTCACCTGCATTGTCTACTGATGGTGGTCAGAGGGCCCGGTGGGGCCAGTGTACGGCAGCCCCGCTTCTGTCAGTGAGCCCCAGGGCAGCTGTGGCTACAATGTAGCTTGCCACCATCAGTGTGTGTGCATGAATGTAGTGTAAAGTGCTTTGGTCAAGACTCTTGACTTGAATAAAGGCGCTATATAAGTACATGCCATTTACCATTCACCAACAATCAAAAGCTTGACTGATGTTCTTCCTTGTTTTGCGTTTTTTTTTGTTATTTTTGGCTTTTATCTTAGAAATGTAACATTTATCAGCTCTATCATGGAACTACTATGATCTGAGCTTAATCTCACATGACTTCAAATTGCCATTCCCATCGAAGCAGAATCCTGGGTGTCGATGTTGTCATGGTAACCAGAAATAAATATTTATATAATTATGATCCGTCAAATAAGAAATTGACCTTCAAAGTTACAGATAAATATATTGAGTTTTAAAAATTAAACACAATCATTATACACATGACTGCAAATCTTGTGTAAAGTGAAATCTTCTACTGCACCCCCTACTGGTTTGGAATACCTAAACAGCGGCTAAGTTTTCTTGCTTCTTTGGGCTGGATCTGACCGCGACACTGTTAGGACAACAGTTTAACCATGCTCCCAATAACAGGAAGCTGGTGTTTCATATCCACAAGGAGCTAGAAAAACATCTCCAATAGCAGGAGAACGTCAGTAGGGATGCCAGGGATTATCATGAGGTTGGTCTGACCTGTACAAGTCATTTTTTTAAAATGAATTTAAACCAGTTATCTGCTGCCTGGTAATAAAACTGGCAGCTGAGTAGTAGCTTAGTCATTACAGATTATTCTCCCCTGTTAAAACCAGACACGGCTTTACAGTCATAAACAGATTACAAGTGTTTTTCTCACTCTGGCTTCAGTAAACCTAAGAGATTAAAGAGTGTGCTTGACTTAATTATTAATATCCACAAATCTGGTTAAAAAAAGTGCTTTAAGTGAACAATTTTATCTGATTGCTGTATATTTGATTAAGATGACCACGGGATTATGGATTATGAGAGCATCAAGCTATGCATAATGCTTATGGGATTACACTGAATATATAGTCATAGTATACCTGCTTCTACTCTTTGGGTTGGAGCAGGGAGGCCTGGCCTGGAACCAAGCCCAGTCACCTCAGGTTAAGAAGCTCCACAGTCACCTTTGATAACGACTCTGGAAAACATTTGATCGTATTTAAGTTTCTGAAATAAAAATCATTCTCCAGTCAACAGGTTAAAGCTCAGACAATTTCCAAAATGAGCGAGCTGGAGCAGCTTCGTCAGGAGGCCGAGCAGCTGAGGAACCAGATAAGAGTAAGCCTCTTTTTCTTTTTATCAATTAGTTTATCTTCACTTTTAAGATCTGGCTTCCCTAAAAAGTTCTGTTCTGTCTTTTCCCTGCCTGTGATGCACGTTAGGATGCCAGGAAAGCCTGTGGAGATTCAACCCTTACCCAGGTAAGTGACACTGAAAATAGCACAGGAAATGGTAAATGTACTAAATGCTTATTGCACTTTTTTTGTTGTTGCCATAATTGCAACTCAAAGCATGAATTAATCACAATTAATCGATTTCTGAAATTATCCTCCACTATTTTGGAAATGAAATGAAAGAGAAAAAACAACCAGAGCACTAAAAATGGCAAACTATTAGAAGATATAATTTTACATTTAAGATGGAAAAAACATTTTTGTTTGATCCGCTATTCAGAGCACAGTTTAGCTTCACTTGGTTTAAATTCTGTAAATACTCTTTCAAGCAGATTTTGAAGATTGTTAACCTATAAATTTAAAAATAATCTACAGATTAATCGATTAGAAAAGTAATCCTTGGTCACAGGCCTAAATTAATGGGAACATTGAACTTTAATAAACTAAATATTTCTGAAGGAAAATAAAAATCTGTGTTCTCATTTAGATGGCTGCCGGTTTGGATCCCGTCGGTCGGATCCAGATGCGGACAAGACGCACGCTCCGTGGCCATCTTGCCAAGATCTACGCCATGCACTGGGCTACAGACTCAAAGTGGGACACCCAAACTTTACTGCTCTATTTGCTGCAGAATTGTTTTAATACCTCCAATTACATGTTTGGTTTTTAACAGCGAGTTTTAAATAATTTCACTAAAACTTTAAACCTTAATTTTTTGGGATCTTTCTTCTGTTCAGATGTAGACTTGTTTTTTGATTGTGTTCCTCAGTCACTGGATCTAACTTATTCATGACAATTATAACAGATAGATTGTGATTTAAAAAAAAGTGTTTGTACTGATTCAGATTTTATTTTAATTTCTTTGATGCTAGGAAACAGCGCTGTGCTTTAAGACTTAAAGTAACATGTATTTAAAGGTTGAGACGTTAAACCTGCTAGGTTTGATCAGTTTATGTTTTGGAATAGGTTTGTTACCTTTGCTTGGTTTGGTTTCTGCAGGCTCCTGGTTAGTGCCTCCCAGGATGGGAAACTGATTGTCTGGGACAGCTACACCACTAACAAGGTAAAGTCAGAAAAAATAATTTTCTTATGAGGTCCTAACTTGTCTGAACTAGTTGTTGAGTGACTCAGCCCAGCTTCAAGGCAACTATTGCAATGGTCTAGTTTCATCAGTAGGGTTTTATCTGCTTTTCCCCCCTCTAATCTCAGCACCATAGAGATTTTTTCACTTGTAAATGTTAATTTTATTTCATATAATATAAAATTGTTGTTTAAAGGTGTATTGACTCGTTATTTAACTAGAGTAGTATTTCATATTTTTGTGTTTTATGCTTTGTTTTTGCTCATTATGTTTGTAAATAAAGATCTTTACTCCTAAATGTTTGTTCAGTTAAGCAGCTGTTTAACTTATTCTAGGAATCGCCTCTGAAAAGGATACAGAGAAAAAGGTTTTTAGCCAAGCTAGATGTAGAGATGTCAGACAGACTGAGGTTATGGTGTTCAGTTTTAAGCTGCCATTCATGAATCTGCTTGTTTCTGCTTGGAGAAGTGATAAAAAGTTTTTGGTAACCCATGAAAACATGAAGCGGAGTTTTAGACGTATAAATATTCTGTCAACCGGGTGGACTGGATTCTTTTGGGAAGCAAGAGAAACAGACCTGGTGGAAGTTATATTGTTGTTAATAATCATATCTTTCCACATATAATTATCGTGTCGTCCATGAGTGACTGTCTCCCTGCCAGCTCCCTGATAAGCTTCTCTCATTGGTCGACATGCTGCATCAAGCTGCAAATTTCCCATTTTCCAGTTGCAGCATCTGATGCTTTGGACGCACCTGGTGGTCAAAGTAGAACCCCTTAACGTACTTTAAGATGCCGCCATCATTAGGGGCAGATCATCAGCATGGCAACCCCCCACCCTAGGCCTCTACCGGGTTATTTTTGCTCCAACTGTGATGTAATTCACCACCACTGGAGCCGATGGTTGTAAGTAGCGATACCATTATGAGGAAGGTCTTACTTTGACAATTTAGGTCAGGCATGCCCAAAGTCGGCCCTCAAGGGCCGCTGTCCTGTAGGTTTTAGAGGTTTCTCTGCTTGAGCACAGCTGATTCTGATGATTGTAGTTCAGTAAAAGCCTCTTAATCAGGTATCAATAAAAATCAGAGAAACCTCTAAAACCTGCAGGACAGCGGCCCTCGAGGACCGACTTTGGGCATGCCTGATTTAGGGTGTTTTCACACCTGCAGCTTTAGGTCCATCTAAACTTCAACCTGAATTTGGTTCCTTTTGGTCAGTAAAGAGCATTAATCTGCATCTTCTCCTGCATAAGACAGGTATTCCTATTCAGTGTCTCCAGCATATTATTTTAAAGCTACAGCAACGCTTCATATTCAGACACTCTTGTTTGCCAATAGTTATACATGCAAAACAAATAGAGCTTCTAATAACTGACGTACCTCAGTCTCCATCATGAAAGTTGTTTCCATTTATCTTGGTTACTACTTCAGTGGCAGGACTTACAGATTTCCCCCTGTTGTCTGCGTTTGGTCCTGAAATACAAAAAGCTGGTACAGAAAAATTAAGCAATGTATCAATGTTAAGATTCAGAGCTGCACTAGGGGGCGCACTAAACATGTGAAAACACCCTTAAAGTTAACCAAAAAAGGGATGGAAAAATACAGTAAATTATTCTCGCAACAGTATGTCATAAACAAAGAGGGCGGATAAAGAACTCATGTTTTTTTTTTTAAGAATTTGTTGTTGTTTTTTTATTAATGGGGTACAGTTTGCTTCTGCCGACATTTAGGAGTCTTCTTTTTAATTAAAGAAAAATAACTGCTGAACCTATTTAATGTATATAGCATGGAGAACCATAAATTAATTTTAACTGCGCCGATGTCCAGGGTTACCGTATGTGCTTTGTTGGGTTTAATAAACCCCCACATCAGATGTTGCAGAATTTAAGTAGGAATATATTGTCTTTCTTTCCAACTTGTGTTTCTCCGCATTGTATTTTTATTAATTCTGTTTAAGTCTGTTTTGTCAGCTGTTTTCCTGTAAACTGATTCTTCCCCCTGAGCCATGGAGCTCTGCAGCTCCTCCAGAGTAACCGTGGGTCTCCTGACTGCTTCCGTTTGTCAGCTTAGGTTGACAGTATTGTTCCCTCTAAGACTTTCAAACGGCTCGTGCATTCTTAGCACACAAGAAGATCTATGCAGCGCATAAAATAAAGTCCAAGATAAACTCTTAAATTATTTAAACTAATTACATTATTTCTGTATTATTTTGAATCTGAACCAACAATGAAAATAGGAGAATACTGAAAAAAGAAATGTAATGTAAAGAAATTATTTTTGCTTTTCATACTAAATTAATATATTAATAATAAATGAATAGGAAATACATTGATCTTTATAACCTCTGTCACTAATGATCTCAGCCTGCTGAATGCTGCCGGTGCAAACCCGCTTTATGGAATAAAACAGTTGATCTTGGACACAATCTACTTTTCAATCCCAGTTTCAAATATCACCATCAAATCAGTTTTATGAATTTATTCATTTAAGAGAAAATAAAACATCTGTGTACTCACAAACAAATGTTCAGCAAATGTCTTTATTCAGCAGATCAAAAACCCTTAAAGGTGCATAAAAAAATAATCCAACAGGAAGAAGAATATGTGGCTGTGCGAATATTTACCAACCTAGGCTTCCCCAACCATGAAACTCACCGGTTTGTAGCAGCCCTGCTTTCCAACATGCACAGTTTAAGAGGCACCTGTTCTTCACAGCACAATGCTTTTTTTTGCTAAATTAAAGTACAGGATGAAGCAGAAACATACACAGGTGTCATCAGCTCTTTCTCAGATATGGTGACTGAAGCACTTAGATGTAAGGAGCTGAAGGAAACCTCACAGCTTCTGGATATTTGTGCTACATTTTAGGCATCCAGTGCTGATTGAGAAAGAGGATTTAGTTTAATTAATCAAATCATAAACAGCATCCAGAAAGTTCTTAAATGGGCATATATAGACAACTGTTGGAGAAGGGAAAAGGATAGGATATGAAAAATTCTTTTTTTGAAAAACAATCCACTGGACTTTGTTTCCAAGTTGGAAGACGTTTGGCTTCCCATCCAGGAAGCTTTTTCAATTAAAAATGTCAGAAATAGCGTTGAGTTCGAGCCTTTATAGAGTGGACAAAAAAGAAAGCCTTGTTTTCACAATTTATTGTGCAAAAATTGAGCGTTTTAAAAACAAAGTTTCTGAAAGGTGTAACATCTCATTTCCTCCGGAGCAGGACCCTCACCGTAGCCAAAGCAGCACTCCTACATAGACTACACATCTCATTAACAACTTTTTTATTCGGCCAGATCAAACTCATAGATATTGCTTATTTAATTTGTGGGTAGCACTGTTGCCTTGCAGCAAGAAGGTTCTGGGTTCGATTCTTGGCCTGTGGTCTTGCATGTTGTGCCCTTGCATGGGTGGGTTCTCAAAAACATGACTGTTAGGTAAATTGGCTTCTCTAAATTCTCCCTAAGTGTGTATGCATGGTTGTGTGTCTCTGTGTTGCCCTGCAACAGACTGGCGACCTGTCCTAGATGGACCCCGCCTCTCGCCTGTAGACTGCCGGAGATAGGCACTGGCTCCACCGCGACCCTGGAAAGGACTAAGTGGGAGCAAATAGATAGATGGATGTAACTAGTAATGATCCTGGGTTTATAAGAAGTCTAATCATGGTGTGTGGCTTCAGTGTGAACATCTGATGTTGCTCACAGTGGTCCTCAGTGAACTCAGGGAGCATATGTGTCCTGTATGCTCAGACATGAGAAATTAGAGGGAACTTCATTTGTTCACCAATGTTCTTTAACAAACGGACGTATTTAAACTAGGATTAAATTACATGGAGGTAGACTAAGTTTTCTGATTAGAGGACTCCTGAAGCCAGTTTGGTTTAACTGGATTGTATTTAGAGGTATCAAATTACCGTAATAGGGGATGAATGCAAAGGTACCTCACACCTCTAAGGATTTTATTTTTTGTGTTGCCTGAATTTTTATAACCATATATTAAAAAGATGCAGCTGCAGTGAGGCTGAATGTGAAAAAGTCAGAAGGGTGTGAATATTTTTGCTTTTTAGCTATCAGGCTGAAAAGCTGCTTCGTTTCATCACATGACGCCTCTCTCCCCTCAGATACACGCCATCCCCTTGCGCTCCTCCTGGGTAATGACCTGTGCGTACGCCCCCTCGGGGAACTACGTGGCTTGCGGAGGCTTGGACAACATCTGCTCCATCTACTGCTTAAAAACACGCGAAGGCAACGTGAGGGTCAGCAGAGAGCTGCCGGGCCACACGGGTGAGGCGCCTTCAGCGTCTGCTTTTAGTTTCCCTCCTTTGGGATGGAACTATATTCTTGTCAGTTATTGGTTTTAGCTGTGACTCCATCAAACGGTTCCATTAAAACAGGAGCCGAGTTTCAGCTTCATGCTCAATATGAGGCCAAGGGGCCAAAGTTCCCTCAATGAAACATCAGATAAAGACAAACAGCAGTTTTCATCTTGATTTTTCTTTACAGAAATGTTTTATATATTCTATATATTTTTTTATTTAACCTAGTTAATATCAGAACTGCAGTATATAAAAAAAATATGAATAAAAATACAGACACATGAACAAGCTAAACACTGAGGCCCAATCAGGGGCCCCTCTAGTTTATCCAGTGACCCAAAAATACATATAAATAAATACACATTATTTTTATTCTTTATAATTCATGAACATAAGGTGTTTAATTACAATTGTTTTTTACTTATTTTCTTTCAAAATGATATTTTATTATTTACTTAAATTACTACCAAAGTGGGGGTTGGGACCCCCCATGGGGGTCTGCAGATGGTTTTCAGAATCATTGTGATGTGATTCCCGAGGGCCAAAATTTACCATGAAATAAGTAAATTCAACAAATTAAAGAAATTTTAAAAAGATGCTTATTTAAAAATACATAGAATTACTTTGCTTTATATTTATAAATAATTATAATTTGAAATCATTCTCTGTATTTTTAGGGGTTCTAAAAGCTGTTGCATAGTTGTTTTTTAGAGTAACAGGCTGAAATACTTTGGGACCCTTGATTTAATTCATCATTTCAATGTTTTTTTTTTTTCATCATCAGGCTGAAGCAGCTGAAAGTACAAAACCTTAATTTTCGCTGTGGATTATTCTGATTCTCACTGTGGCCCAGATTACCAAGACTATGCAGCAGACTGATAATTCAAAGCAGAAACAGGAAATCTACCTTCAAATGTTTCAAAATAATAAAACCATAAATCTAATTTTTCTTTTTTCTGCCCTGATCTCAGGTTACCTTTCATGTTGCCGCTTTATTGACGACAATCAAATCATTACAAGTTCAGGGGACACATCCTGGTGAGTGAAAAAAGAAAAACTTGCAGTTCAAATGAATCCTCGCTGATCAATGACTGACTCCCCCGCCCTCACAGCGCACTGTGGGACATCGAGACGAGTCAGCAGACCACGGTCTTCTCAGGCCACTCCGGCGACGTCATGAGCCTTTCTCTGTCACCTGACCTCCGTACCTTCATCTCCGGAGCCTGTGACGCCTCGGCTAAGCTGTGGGACATCAGGGACAGCATGTGCCGGCAGACCTTCACAGGCCACGAGTCGGACATCAACGCCAGCTGTGTGAGTGTGGTTGGGAAACAGGAAGTAAAACTACGTGGCTTCTGGTTCTGTTGCTCCTGCTCTGCTCTACGAGTCCAGAGTTTGACCATTTGTGATAAATGAGATACTCGTGACATCACCTCAGAGTGGCATGTTCACCTTCCCCACGCTGGCCAAGAGACGCAGATGATTTGGAGCATATTGTTTCCTCTTTCTTTAGTTAAAGGATAAAAATTACGTAATGATATGTTTTATTCAGGTCTCAGTTAAAACGAACACAACAAAAATTCAGGCGCTCTTTTCCAGGGTCGCATTCTTTTAGTCCTGATCCAGATTTCCAGTGTTGGTGATTCCTCATTCAATACTAGGGAGGCTAATCCTTCCCTGTAAATTAAGTGAAATAATTGCTCAAAGATGCATTCTTAAGCTTCATAAATGTAGTCATTAAACTGCATTAAATCTGCACTGAAACAGTTGATTTTATGAGCATGTGGCACATTAATCAGCTGTTTAATCGGCTCTTTGACGTGATCTCCCTCCGCTGTGGAGCGGCAGGATGCTGCCTGTCAATCTCTATTAGAAATCCCTGTTGAGGTTTGAGCCTCCATGTTTTAAAGCAACCAGGGTGAAAGTAGTGCCCTGATTGGATAACAAGCAAAAATCCGTACCGTCCAGTGAGGCTCTTAAGGGGTCTATGGAGCAGGGGTGGGCAGGGTTGTGAAGCTGGCTGCTTGATGCTGATTGGCAGAACATGCTAACAGATCAGATGGAGGGGAGGCTTTCCTCATGAGACTCAGACGGAAGGAAAACACCATCATTCAGTTAGAACGGTGATCTTGTGCTGATCTCTTGCCGTGGTTTCTGAAGTTTTTCATTTCAGAGTTCTTCACAACGGCTATTTTCACTTATTGTCATAATGATTGTGTTTCAGCATTCATTAATACGGTATGTAAGATTGGATTTAACTGACCCTATTGAGCCACCTCCTGATTTAGAGAGCAGCATCTGCCTCTGATTTCCAGGTAGGAATGTAGAGTGATGGAATCTTTGCCTTTTGGCTCAGCTCTCATTTCACCACATCAGATAAATCAGTCTGTCCACCTCCTCACCCCTCACTCAGCAACAGGACCCCAAGATGCTTGAAATCTTCCACTAGAGGCAGGAACGCTCCCCTGACCTGAAAGGGACAGCCACCCCTTTCCATTGGAAAATCAGGGAACTAACCCCTGGAGGAGCTGATCATTATCTCAGCCGCTACTCTCTTAGCTGCGAACCGGCCCAAAGAAAGAAAAAATGCTGGAAAAGCTGCAATACTGCAATGTGCTGCAAACACATAAATAATGCTAACACACCAAACACGTGAAAAGAAAAAAAATAACTGCAAGATAAGAAAAGCAGCAAACCTGCACCGCTTAACAAAAGTTAAAAACCAATAGGGAAAGACAATGATCTGTCTCTTAGGAAAAATAGAAATAAGATAAATGTATAAAAAAAAGATTCAAAGGGAAAACAAAACATTTATATCCTTCTCTTTTTCCACTGGACGGCTTCCCATTTATGTATTAATGTCAATGTGCTGGTCCCTTATGGGTTGATCATCTCCCCCTGGTGGCTTGGAGCACTTTATCTATCCAACCTTTTGAATTTGTGAAATTGTGTATTTGCTCACCTGGGCCAGCGTACTTCTCAGCGTAGAGCCAACGCCACAATTTTGAGTTTTTATTTTTTTGCTCCATAGTGAGCTCATCTTGTTTAGCAAAGAAACACGTAAAAAAAAAATTGTGCTATCCAAATTCATGTAGAAATTAAATGGTGGTTTTGCATCAACCAAAAAGATAAAAACAAATGTCCTAATCAAAAGTCTTAATGAAAGTGGGTATCAGTGCTTTGATCCTGCACTACTTCTCTGCGAGTGAGAGCAGGAAGACGGGGGCAAAGACAAAGGTCACAAGAGGAGAACGCAGCAAAGCAGCTGCAGTTGTTAAAACACACATTGTTAAAACAACCCACTACTGGTGATTCGGCTGAACGTCTAGTGTCTCATTAAACAGTGACTGATGAAAACAAAGTGAAAATGACAGTGAATCTGAGTATTATTTAGTCAGTTTTATTTCCTGATTTTTCCAGTTTAGATGTGTGTTTAGGACCATTTAGGACCATTCTCATTGAGAATGGCTCCGTTTTTTGTAAAAAAAAAAAAAAAACATAGATTTTTAACTTAATTTAATTTTTTATTTATTTCAGTAATTATTCACTTTCCAGGCAATATATATATATATATATATATATATATATATATATATATATATATATATATATAATTTTTTTTATTCAAATTGAAAAGAATGATACGTCTGAGCATTAAATGTTCAAGTTAAGGATTATAAATCAACAGAAATCTTAGTTCCTTTTCATTTCAAACTTTAAACTGAGAATGTCCGATTGATGCCACACATTTGCATGTTGCAGGATTATCACCAGATAATCCTGCAACATGCAACCTCAGCCCCTCTATTCCTCACCTATTCAGCCAGGCAGACAATTCCCTTTAATGACCCCCTTTCAGAGACATAGACAGGTATGGGGTATTGCAGGCTAACAAAAGAAGCCAAACGTCCCCCATTCCAAAGGGGTGGACCCATTCCGTCCGTTTCATTTTTCATGTTTCTTTGCAAAAACAAGATTTTTTGGGTGCTACTGTATAAAGCCTAAGACTCAACGCTATTTCTGACATTTTGAATTGAATAAGCTTCCTGGATGGGAAGCGAAATGTCTTCAAACGTGGAAACTAAGTCGCTTTGATTGTTTTTTTTTTTTTTTTACTTTTTTGGAATATGACCTGGATGAGTGAGAGTATTCGCCAGATTATCACCAGAGCATCTGTATGTTCTGGAGATTTTCAGCCAAACGCCAAACGCTGTGTTTAGACCTGATCACCGTCACTCATCTGATTCAGTGACAAACATTCAGAGCGTGTAGAAAATATAGAGGTTATTTCACTTCGTGTATATTCCAAAGGTTATTCAGCCGCTTATTCTCCGTTATTTTCCCAGTTCTTTCCAAACGGAAGCGCCTTCGCCACGGGTTCCGACGACGCCACCTGCAGGCTGTTCGACCTGCGCGCAGACCAGGAGCTCAGCATCTACTGCCACGACAACATCATCTGTGGCATCACCTCCGTGGCTTTCTCTCGTTCCGGCCGTCTGCTGCTGGCCGGCTACGATGACTTCAACTGCAACATTTGGGACGCCATGAAGGGAGACAGAGCAGGTGGGCAGAAAAGCATGCAGCTGAGGGCTTAGATGCAGCATAAAAAGTCTGCTGAATGAAGGATTCATGACAAAAAATTCAGCCATCATTAATCATGATGGAGTGAGTGAATGCGTGCCGCAAGGGGTCCTACTTAGTCCACAAAGTTTATTTATTAGCACCCCTGGTAAAGATGTAAAAACCCACAAGGAGGAACTTATTTTTACTGAAACAAAACAAGCTCAGTATTTAATTTAACTATAATTATTCATTTATTTCTAAAGTAGGATTTTTTTTTTTTTATCAAAACCAAACTGGTTGCCTTCATCTTTAAATGTATTTGAATGATTATTTTGATTCCTGCTCAACTTTATTTTAGTTAGATCATTGTTTCTACGATTTTCTAAATGGGGAGCCATGATTTTCTCTCATTATGATGTATAAATAGGAATTTTCTTGCAAGCAATGTTGGATGAAGAAGCTAAAAACAATCTTGAAATCTCACCATGAATGGCTGCAGCACAGAATAGCAACCATTGGATTTGATCTACATGCAAACTGCTAGTTTGGGGGGGTACAAGGAAATAAGTGGTTTTCTACTCGATCTGGTCTGGTATCTGTTTTAATAAGATCTTAATAGCATCATAAATTATTTGAAATTCCATGATAGTTTAAATAGAAATCAGGTAAACAGAACACAGGTCTTGGCTTAATACAGTAACTTTGAGATTTTTGTTAATGAAAAGTGCGGTATAAATTGGATTGATTATTATTATTATTATTGTGGAATAACCAGTGAAAGTGAAAAACCCAGTTTCCATTATCTTCTCAGTCCTATGACTAAAATCCTGTAGAAAACAGAAAAGAGATTATTCCATTTATGATTAGAAAAAAAAACACAGCACTGTTTAATTTACCACCACTGTTTATTTTTACAAAGCTGTAAAAATACTAGTAGAAAAAGCTTTAATAATTTGCAGATAATTATGACTGACATGTATCTGCTACTATAAGAAGAATGTTTCCATTAATCATAATTAAAGGGATCCATGACTAGAGGAGCATTTTGGCTTAAATACATTTTCATTTTTCTATTAACTTAGAAATTGAGGTTTGTGATCTGTAAAAACTAATTTATTCAAAAATTATAAATCATTTCACCTAGGGAGGTTGCCATTTTTTTGCCTCTGCAATGCATGGTGGGTAGATAATGCAGTAAGGTCGGACTGGATGGGAACCTACAGGAAGGCTAACATTAGCAGAGCTGTTTTTTTATACTATTTCTTTTGACTCGGGCAAATTCAGACAAAGCAACAGTGCATCACTGCCGCAGAGTTTGCATGATCCGTCATACATGAGATATCTGTTAAAACAAATAAACGTGATCTGCTTGTGATCTACTGTTTACTATCTTAGGTAGAGCTAATACCATTAGCAGAAGCTATTGTGAAATCAAAATAACATCTGAAGATAATTAATGACTGTTTAAAGGGACAGTCTTTCAGTCATAAAACATCTTTCAAATATATCTGAGAAAATTGTTTGATCGTGATGCTAACCGCTAACAGCCTCAGTTACAAACTGGGGTTCGTTTCACGAAGCAGGTTGAACAAACTCAGACTAAAATCAGCAACTTCAAACTGATCTAGCCTAATGTCAGAACCGGAAAGAGTTTTTGGGTTCACAACAGTAAGCCGCTATGAATTAGTTCAGTCAACTCTAATTAGGTCCACTCAGAGTTAAGCGCATGTGTGACAAGTTTAAAATGCCATCATCAGAAGAACTCCGAATAGACGAGTCACCATGACAACAGGCAACAGGAAGTGCCTATTTCACCCCACTGGAACTAGACATTTTAATTAAGACGGAGAATGTGTTTTAAAAAACAGAGAAACAGTGCTACAGCAGCAAAGGAGAGGAAGATAGCGGAGGATAAGATAGTAGCTCAAGTTAATGAGTAGGTTTATTTGAAGTGGCTATGGCAAGCCATTTTTACATTTATTAAAAGCCATCTCCCCTCTGTTGTTCATTTGTAGATTACTAAAATAAGATTCTTCCTGATATAAATCACATACCTAGATTGAACTGTAATAATATATAGTCTACATTACATTTATATGAATTTCAGAATATAAAATTATACTAGTAAGAATTAAGTTTTATATACCTAGATATGTTTATACATTTTAAGTGGCCATTCTGAAATTTATCAGCTTGACTGAATGATATCTGGAATACATTTCTTTATAGTCAAAATAATTCAAATTCTGACCAGTAACAATTGGAATATGGAGAACTCAAATTAATTTTTAGACATCCAGATTGTTTATTCTAGATGTGAGGGATGTCATTTAGTTTGAAATGGTCATTTTGACAGGGAAAAAATGTTTTTTTTTTTTTTCAGAAATCAGGAATACATATGAAAATACATATACAGTAAAAATAATACATATCAAACCAGCTTGCTATATGCTGTTCTCACAGGCTATAGGACTTGTTCATCATGTCATGGGTTCTCAGTTTGATTCGGTCTTCCATAAATACTCAGTGACTGTTTGCAGCTGCTTAAGATGTTATCATCCCAATAAATGGTCATTATTAGCGGTTAGCAGTCCCATAGAATAGCTTCAGAATGTGCCAGTAGGCTCATTGGGTTGTTTTCACTGAAGTAGTTTCTTTTCTACCCCGCGGAGCTTCATTACTCTATTTATATGTAATCTGAAAATATTTTCAGTAGTTCCAGAGCCAGTGAGGGGAGATGAAAAACCCGTCAATCATTTCAGAAACACCCAGATTACCTGCACAATCACTTAGATGGTAAAAAAAATAAGGTTGCTGCTTTGAAATTGCAAGTTTATTAATACCAGCAAAAGGTTTGTCCCATTATTGAAAGGTTCATAAATAAAAAAACAAAAACGCTTTGCTACTGTAGTGTGTTTGTGTCCCCCCTGCAGGGGTCCTGGCTGGCCATGACAATCGCGTGAGCTGTCTGGGCGTGACGGACGACGGCATGGCGGCGTGCACCGGGTCCTGGGACAGCTTCCTAAAGATCTGGAACTGAAACGCGCACATCGACTGGAAACACAAGCACGTCTAGCATCCCTGCACACACACAGTTCCTGACATTATGCCCTCCGTACCGATACTCTAAGACTTAAAACAGCCAAACAGCAACATTTTACTGTACATATTATAAAACATCGTAGGTGCGAGTTTACCCACCCACCCCCTGCACATCCTGACCCACAATGCTTTGAATAGATGACATAAAATAAACACACCTCTACATACAGAGTAAGTTTTGTTCCATTATTGCTGCAAAAAACACTTTTTGTGATTGGAAATTTTGAAAATATAAAAAATAAAATTAGGATCTAGAAATAAAACTTTGAAAAAAGTCAAAATTAAAAATGGGTTTTGAGCACAACTTGGGTTTTTTCTTTTATGTTATGCAAGTTTTTATCTAAATTGTTCTTTTTCAGATTGAATCTTATGAATGGCATTCTTTTTAAATTACATTTTACACTTCTAGTCTCTTTATATCAATCCCAATATAAATATTTTTGCTAACGTTCATGCAGACCAATAGAAATCGGTCTTTGCTCCTCATTCAGAGGAAAGCCCCAAAGGGAAGAGATAATAGGATCCGTAAAAGACAACTGGAAAGAATGCAGTTCATTAAATCCAATCTGAAAAACATCAATTAAAAAAATATATAAAATTGAAAACATTAAATTTGAAACTTTTCCTTTCGGATATCATTTTTATTTTATTAAAAAAAAAATGTTCTGTGCTTTTAATAATAATGGAACTAAATTCACTCCATATCTTCATTTACCCACTGCTGATTTAAATACTCAGCAAAACCTGTTTATATCAAATGTGACCAAATACAGCTGAAACATCAGTTGCTTGAATGAAAAAAAAAAATGTAAAAACCTCACAGGAATCACCTTTACCTAAAGCCTTTTAAACACATCTGACACCTAATTCACACATTTCAAACGCTGCTCCTCCCGAAAGAGAAGATCCCCCAACGGACGGTTCTGCCTTTGTTTACAGCGAACTTCATCTTCTTTCTGTGGTCATACGACTTCAGCACCACCGGAGGGACGAAGGAAGGATCTACAGCCGCTTCACTGAGGCTGCTCAGATCCTCTTGTCATGCTTTATAGATCTGTACGCCCAACATGCTAGATTTTAGTTGAATTTTGTTTGTTTTTTGTTTTATTTTATGTGTTTTATTCATGTTTTCCCTGTGTGCCTCAGATACACTGAAAATGATAGATAATAATCGGGTAGTTTCAAATGATCTTGGATGACAGCAGGATAAATGACAGCCTACAGAAAGCCAGTATTCAAACTTTAAATCTGTCATTGATTATTTGGAAATTACCACAGCATAACTGTACATAATACTAATAAATAATAGCCTCGCCTGAAAGCTGTCATGGTTTCTTTTGGCGATGAATCATTTTCTTCCATTTGTTCCCTGAACTGTTATTGTTGCCTTCAGCCACAAGGGAGCGCTGCACTACTTCACGTGTAGTGAGTCATAGGAAGGGCAACCAGTGAACTGGAGGGATCTGCATTCATCTAAACTTCATTATAAACATGATTTTATTGCCTTTTTTAATTTTCTTTTAGGTATTGTCATTTTTAAATCTTTATAAATGCTTAAAGAAGAACAGAATAAAATTCAATTTTAAACTGAGTAGTTATTTTTTCAGAGGACGCTTAGGGCCCTCCATGTGGTACTGCAGGGTCCCTTGTTGCCTATGGGCACCGCGTTAGTTACCCCGGTTCTAGAATGTAAAACTAAGGCTAGTCCTTCTAGAATTTAGAACTAGAGCTAGTCCTTCTAGAATATAGAACTAGAGCTAGTCCTTCTAGAATATAGAACTAGAGCTAGTCCTTCTAGAATTTAGAACTAGTCCTTCTAGAATTTAGAACTAGAGCTAGTCCTTCTAGAATATAGAACTAGAGCTAGTCCTTCTAGAATATAGAACTAGAGCTAGTCCTTCTAGAATTTAGAACTAGAGCTAGTCCTTCTAGAATTTAGAACTAGAGCTAGTCCTTCTAGAATTTAGAACTAGTCCTTCTAGAATTTAGAACTAGAGCTAGTCCTTCTAGAATTTAGAACTAGAGCTAGTCCTTCTAGAATTTAGAACTAGAGCTAGTCCTTCTAGAATTTAGAACTAGAGCTAGTCCTTCTAGAATTTAGAACTAGAGCTAGTCCTCAAGAACATAGTAAAGCAGTAAAAGGAAGAAAGTTTGAACTACAGATAATTTGACACTTGGGTCAAATTTTTCCCTATTCAGGTCAAGAAAATACTGATAAATTCCATACTTTAAAGAGCCTCCATCACAATCAACCTTTCTGCGCTTTTAATCATTTTCTGAAGCTTTTCTTTCATAAATCACACTGTTTAGGCTCAAACGGACCTGACCAATCACAGCTCTTTGCCGTCATACCGGTAAGTCTTATTTTATTGGTGCCATTTATTTTGTCCCAAAAGAACTGATTATATTGTTAGTTTCGACAAGTGGCTGCTGTCAAAGCTTTTCTTTTAGAAGAAAAGGTTTGGAGTCACATCCGTAGTTATCAGATTATAAACAGTTTCCACTGTTACTAGTTATTTAGACCCAGAGCTTTTCTGAACATCTTATGTCAATCTGAAACAACCCATTTCTCACAAAGTTAGCATTGCTAGGGTCATAATATGCTGGGAGAAACTGCAAATAATTTAAGATATAACTATATACTATTTTAGACTTTTAAGGTATTAAATTTGTAAATCTAAGCATTTAAGACCCTACGGGAGCCCTTTTAATGCAATATTTTATTGTGTATTTACATATAGGTGACTTTGAAAAGAGATAGATCGATTGATAGAGCAGTGGTTTGTGTGCAATTGTTTTAAATATCCCAGCAACTTCGAAGTACAAACATGACCCATCTTCAGGGACCCATCTTCAGCCGCCATCTGTGACGATACTGGATGGTTCTGCTTGTATCAGTTTGAACAAAAAGGCCCCCGCTTCCCTTTCCTTTAAATTCAAACTAATGTGGCAGAGATGGTGGAACAAAGAATTTAAGAAAAAAAAAAAAAAGACAGAGCAAACAGACCAAAATGAGATCAAGATTTTATTTTTCAAACAATCTGGTTTAAGACATAAATTCATTCAGCACAATCTTTTTAAAGTTTATAGGTGTATGTGATACAATCTGAAGTTAACCTCTCACAAGTAACACAGATGAGGGCACATTGGAAAAAAAAAAAAAAAAAAAACAGGATACTGACAAAAATGTATATTATGGTTCTATCAAAATCCTGATTAGGATTTTCCAATAGCATTCAAATAAGCCCCAGAATTCAATTATTTTTTTACCTGGACATGAAGTCAGGTTCTGACACTTCGTCTTAGGTTACCAGAAGGTGATTGTGTTTAGCCGACAGAAAGAAACTGCCGTTTCTCTTCCAGATAGAAGAAAATGTTTTAAACAAACAAGCCTATGTTTCTTCTGCCAAAAAGATGAACCGCACAGAGTTGAGATTAGTTGAGATATTGCTTATCAAACAAAGTCCTTTCAGGTTAATAAGTCATTCCGCTTCCCGGACCCGGCTCAGTTCTACCCGCCTCAGGTGATGCTCTAACATTTCAGGGGTAAAAACGATAAAACCTAAAAAGATGGAGTCCGGTTGTTTTATTGGTGCCTCAGGAAAACCCAACAGAACTTTTACTCGTTAAGGTGCTTTTTATGAAAACTGTTTAGGAAAAACCAGCTTATAATTGCAGACAATTAAAAGTTTGGATCTGGATGATCGGCAGGACAGATTAAGAATCTCATCATACTGAATGCATCAAAGTAAAGATTACAGCGTTTTAACATCTGATGTACAATTTGAGTAAAAAAAAAAGCAAATGCTTTAGTTTCCTTCATTTGTAAATTAAAATCACTTCCATCAAATAACTTCACTGACATAGTTCTTGAAACAAATAAAAATGTACAGAAGCCGCCATGAATAAGGTTAGCCTGGGGATTTATTTGAGGTGACGCCGACCAAATCAGACCTTTATAGACTTCAGTTTTTACAGAAATTATTCATCAGGCCTGGATTTAATTTGCTAGTTTTATGATTTATAAACCAATATATTTTTACAATTTTACACCTATTGTCCATTCTATGAAGACAACCCTCCCATTTTAAAGTCGTGGCGACTTTGTCAGAATGTAAAAGGCAAAAGTCCAGTTTCCTACCAGGTTTTCAGGCTGTTGTCTTCAGTGTTAAAGCAACACTATGCCACTTTTAGTCACCAGGGGGCGCTTGACTTCTAACTTTCAGGTTTTACTGTTTTGGAATCAGACTTTCTGATGCAGTTCAATGTAAAGACGAGGCCACATTCATTCCTCTAGATTAGAAAACTAAAAATATGTCTAATCAGGTCATATGTATTTGGTTGACCAACAATAACTGTTAGCTCAGTTAGCTAAGCTAACTAATGTCTAAGGTGAGCTCAGACTGCTGTAAAGTAGTGCCCATTCAGTGATCGTCTCCATCGTTATGCATCAAAGGCTGAATATTGACCTGAAAATCATTTAAAAGTTGTGCAGTGTTGGCTTTAACCAGTGCAAACAAACAAAAAATCCCATTACAGATTTTATTTGATTGAACTGGCCTCTAAAAAGTACATTTTAGAAAATATATTTCACACTAACATAAAAACATTTTTGTACTTAAAGTATTTAAAGCACTTATCCGAACTTCCTGACAGCTCATTAGCGACCTGAGGCCAATTAGCTGTATGTAAGGCGCTCTGAGCTGAACTGGTCTGTTCATACGATGCAGCAGCTAAAAACTTTCTGTATCATAACTTTTCTGTCTGATTTTATGCTGACAAACTCAATGACTGAGAACAAAGGGGGAGAACCTATTATGCTAAGTTATATAATGAAGTTGTGCTTTGAATAATAGTGTGGAACAGATTTCTGTACAAATGCAAACCTGTTTTATAGATGTACATTCACTTTTATTCCTTAATACTAATTTACAAATTTTATAAAATAAGCTTTTTAGAATATAACAAGCTACTCTGCCTACAAGGTTACACAATCAACGTCACTGAAGAATAAGCAGTCATTTGATCTGTGCTGCATGAATCTACACGTCCCACGCACACATACACACGCACACATACACACACATGCAGTTTCACTTGATGAGTGTGCAAAAACCAAGGGGTTTTCTCTATAAACACATGGCTATTCTCTAAGCTGGCTCCCAACGCGGGCGGATCTACAACACGTCACATTGGGTTTAAGGAACGCGTCATATCCCATTTGTTATTGCCACTTTCTGATTGCGTTTCATTTGGAGTTTATTTTTGGCGCCAAGAAGGCATCTCAGGTTAGGTTTACCTACAGTAGGGGATACACTGGATTATCTATTTTTATTAATTAAGTGCACTTAACTGGCACCGAATGTTAACCATGAAGCTTCCGTCTTTAGAGACGAGGGTCTGGGCTAAACTTTTCCTTTAGACTTCTCACTCTCCCTTCTCCAAGGCACTGCTTTAACTGTAAACATGATGGCAGACTGATTGAAAGAAAGAAAAAGTGCCAAAGCTCTCTTGTTTGTAGTAAATCTGCAGTGTAGCCATGGCACCCAAAAGATAGCTTCTCATTCAGAACGAAAGCATCGGGTTTAATGGTTTACATGCACACTGAAGGATGTGGCTTAGAAGGATATCCATTTGCAAAGCGAAGAGAAAGTGCTCTCCGTGTCATATTTATACATTTCTTCCTGTACAATAAATCCTCTATTTATATAATATTAATCTTAACTTTAACTCCAACACCTTCTGCTGTCTTTATAGCTTCCTCTCTAACAGTACATCTCAGCCTGAAGGCCAAGCTGCAGAGATTCCCACTGATTACTAATCAAGGTTCCTTCATAATATCCCAAAGGTTTTCATGCTGGTGCCGAAAAGAAGTGCCCCATTTATCCAGTCAGAGGATGGTTCGTAAAACCAGGGTGATACAACCTGCTGTAGACGTTGATCCAAACTCTGACAGCTCAGAATGCATTATTATTATTATCTTATATTTAGATGCAGAATTAAAAGCTATCTTAACCTTAGGAAAACATTAAGTTTGAAACAAGTCAGCTAACATGGTCTAAATTATAGAGAAATTTTGTTAAATTATTGCTGCAAAGAACAATCCAGACGTTGACTTTGAAAAGCTTCTGTAACAAAAAATAGGTTTTGGAATTACCTTTGCTGGTTTTTAGATTTATTTTAATATTTTATATCTGAATTTTTTTTTAATTCAAATTAAGTTTTAGGAATTGCATTAATTTCAATTTCCCTTTTACAGATTACATTTGCTTCACTTCTGTGGCGTAACTTTCCTTTATAATGAGGAAAGAAGATCCATTTCTGTTGGTCTGCATCGACGTTAGCTACACTTGCATTGGTCAAGAGCAGCAAAGTGAAGATAATGTGATCTGTGAAAACTCATTCTGAAAAGAACACACTTCTTAAAATGATCTAAAGCAGCGGTCCCCAACCACCGGGCCGCAGACCGGTACTGGTCCGTCGGTCATTTGGTACAAGGCCGCACAGAAAAAAAATTATTTTAAAAATAAACAAAACATTGGGGTATTATCTCCCCATTACATCAGTCGGTGCATCTGTGCCTCTTGACACAGGTTAATTCAGGTCAAGACTCATCCTATCTATAACATCCTATCTTTGTGAAGCGGGATTTTCTGCAGTTACAGCGACCAAAACAAAGCTACTGAGCAGACTGGACATCAGGAGCACACTTTGTGTGTCATTGTCCCGATTACGCCTAGATGGGACCAGTTTGTTTCAGGGAAACAAGCTCAGTGTTCCCACTAATTCAACATAATGGTGAGTTTTATTTTTATGCTGTTTATATTTAATTTTATGCCAGTCGTATCGTTTTATTTGATCATATTTACCCCACACTTTAAAGGCCGGTCCGTGAAAATATTATCTGACATATAACCGGTCCGTGGCGCAAAAAAGTTTGATCTAAAGATTAGAAATGTAAAAAAAAAAACATTGCGAAAAACTGAAAAAAAGATTTTTAAAAAATTAAATATGAAAAAAGGGGATTTTTTTTTTTTTCAAAAAAATACATTCTAAGAAAGCAGCAAAGTTATTCTCAAAACTCTTTTCTGATAATGATTGTTAAAAGTTTCATTTCTGGACTGCTTTTTTTATTTCATTTAATATTTGCTTTCAAAAATAGTGGGACAAACTTTACTCCATAACATTGCTTAGTGATGTATGGTAGTCCTTTTCTCTAAAGATTCTTTTAAGGTTCTGCTTTATTTGGCCTCTTTTTCCTCTGCCCCTCCAACACATCCTATGAACTTTGGCAGAATGTAAATACATATCATGTTTCATGGGTTACACCCATGTTTTCCAAAGTGCCTGATAAGCTGAAAAGAAACTGCTCAGATTTGAACTACTTCACAAAGAGCAGTTCGGCTGCTCACACAGATTCTCTCACACAGATTCACACAAACCAAACTGTTGTAGGACTAAAATACGATGCAGCAGAGTTGATCGCTGACGGCGGGTCGACCGCCCTCATTTCCTCTACCTCCGCTTCCTAACTCCGCATCGCGTACAAACTCTCCTCTTCAAAAACACTCCACAAAAAGTAGAATATATTGCAATACAATGGCATTAAAAGTACAGTGAAAATGAAGAAAACCAGTAGCCTAGTACTATTACAGAATCACTACATATAAATAGTAAGTTTGTAAACCTATGAAAGATGGATAGGAGTTAAAGGAAGATGGTTGTCTCTAAAAATCAGAAAAATAAATCAAAGCAGGACATTTTTCCCTTCCAATTTTGTTCGCACTAGAAAAAAAAAAAAGACTAAGTATGTTTATCGTTTATTTATTTTGAACCAAAATTTATTGATATATTTAAAAGATTCATGGCCTGATTGCTGTGACAAAAAACAGGGTTTACAAATATCAAGAGTACTTAAAGCCTCTAGACCTCGACTTGACTAATCTTCCAGGTCAATCTTTATACGTAGCAAGAACTCAGTGAACCGCTAAATATTAAGGAGGGTGAACAGCGGTTCATCGACTAGAAACAGATTCTAGCTCAAACCTTATTGACTTTGAAACACAGCTTTTGTAAATGATGCCCTCCTCAAACATAGGAATGTTAAACATACGTCACAATTAGAAAGAATCCAAACTAAAGACAGTAACTAAATCAAGCTAGGATATATATTCACAGTCCAGACTAATCAAGGATATTAAAATTTAAATCTCATCAGCGATTTTTTTCATGTTTATTCCAGGTAGAGTGTCGTAGGGGGTTTGAGAAAAAAACTGCATCTTAAGGAGTGTCGGCTGGAATGGATTTAGAGGTTGTTTTTTTGCTGTGTTGTTTTGTTTTATCTTGTTGCTGTGTGAGCTCTGGATGTCTTTGCTTTTTGTTTAGTTTTTTTGCAGTAGGAGTACATAAGTATGCAGGAGCTTTAGGGTAACAGTAGTGTTTGTAATTGTGTGCATGCTTTAGGGAGAATGTCGGATGCACTGGGCTCTCCGGACCCCTGCTGGGTTCTATGCACTGACCGCAGCAGTGGCCGCTTCACCAGTTCATGATGCAGTTTCTGTTCAGAGTCATGAAGTACACCTGGCTGCTGCCTCCTGAGCGCACCGAAGCGAAAAACACCTGATGAGCAGCACAGACACAAAGGGCATGATTAGCACTTACCATTGGGAATAACAGCTGACTTCTTTTCATACAACTAACCATGAAAATAAGCAAAAGTGCTGTTCAGGTGAGGCACTGGTTAGAATGGCTCAATACTGCAGGGACCATTAGCTAGATAACGTGATGTGAAGCTTTATTTGCAGCTAAATGTCTTTAAATGATTTGTACCTCCTGAACTCTAACATATACAAAATATTGACCCTTAAATTAAGCAATTAAAGAAGATGATCCATCAATGGAGTGTCTTTACCCTTAAAACAAGAAAACAGGATATTTTCCACTTACAATGAAATAAAATTGGTTATTTTTCTTTTTGTTAAATAATTTTAATCTCATTCGCCTGCTAAAATGTATTGAAAATAAGATTTGAGCAGGTGTTATAAAGGAAAGTTTATAAAGCATGATTCAGTGGCAAGACAGTTGAAAGTGCTGCACAAGTGGGAAAAAAAAGGAAAAGTACAATACATTAGCGTAGAGGTGACTAAAAGCAGTGAAAGAACTACAAAATCAAGTTTGTATAGGTTAAAGACCAAGGAAGATCAGTTTCCACCATAAAGACCTAAAAGGAGCTACAATAGAGACTTGGATCAGGAAAGGAATTGGAAACTGATCTTCACAGATATAAATCTATTGGAATCGAGACTGAGCTATAAAATTTTAACATGTAAAACAACATTAAAAGGAACCTAAACAACAATGTCTGGTTTACAGTCATGGCCTTTGTCTGAACGTACGTCCTACCTCTTAAATCCCTAAATCACTATATAGAGCAGGGACTATATAGTGGAATTCATCGTGAACTCTGGTAACTTACTATTTAGACTGGTGATCACTACTTTTCACTTCTGCTTGGTCATGTGACTCCGCCTCCCCACATGTTGCATGCACCATCCTTGTTCTTTCTTGGCCCCAAAACAAATCCCATGATGCTTTGCGAGGAGAGCTCTCCTCAGTAAGCACTCTGGGATATATCTGCTCATCTAGTGACCATGGATGATCACTACTTCTCAAGGTGCCTTGTAGGAAATTTTGAGTCTACTGTCACTACCTGATCCATAACATCAGCTCATTTGTGCAACCAGAAGCATTCAGGTCATCCTCGATTTGATTTTATAAAAAAAAAAAAAACTAAATTATGTTTTTTTTCCTCCCCAAAAATAGTAACTGTACAAAACACAATATGTCAAGTTAAATCGGGGCAAAACAGAAAGGAAACGCGGATTCTTACAGAAAGGTGAAACTGTTCGCCAGAAGCGGCGGAACAGCGCGGGTCAGGAGGACCATAAAACGCTACGCTCATCTCCTGCGCTGCCAAGTAAAACAACAGACTGACGTAAGTGGCTGGAGTCATCTGTACAAGAAGCCTATGCAGACTGGGAGACTATTACAAGCAGGCAGAGTGGCAGCCGGTAAGACATTATCTACTCAATGAAGGTTGGTGTTTGGTTTATAAGTTATTTAAAATAATTGCAATGTCCTCTGATTTGTAAAATAATGTATTGATTAATTGATTTATTGTGGAATGTGATGGGTCCTTTTCATATGCAGTAGAGATTTGGAGGTAGTTTGTATAAGTTTATTGTTGGACATTTTATAGAATTAAACAAAACAAATACTTTTATGATGGAATCATGATATTAACATTAAACCTAAAACAACTAAAATGCAGATAAACATGATTGAATTATATGTTGCCGGACTACTCTGAGCATGTTTAACAGAGAAAATGGAAAAGTATCAAAATTGTCTCAGCAAAATAATTTTTAAAGATGTGTATTAGCGTTCTTTAGTGAGTTAAGGATAGAAATAGGTAATTTTAGTACCGTACTTACATTATTTATGGAAACCTGGATGTATATCTGGTTGCACAACTGAGTTGACAGGAAGGATTGGGCTTCCGGGACGGATCGGGTAGTGACAGTCCACTACTTTTTCATCGGCTGGACATTCAGACACTCATAAACTGAGTAACCACTATATAGTGCTCTATGTCGGGGTGGATGTTTGGACACAGCATTTGTTTCCCTTTTACCTTGTCATTTCTTTCGCAAAGGAACTTCAGTCTCTGAGCTCTCTTGTGCATGAAGACCCCGTCCAGGTGGCCAGTCTCCACAGATCGGATCTCTATGGCCTTTTCCCCCCAGCCCATAATCTGGTTCGAGCAGATATGAGCTGCAAAGGATAGAGACAAATTAGCAATCAGACTGCAATTAGTTATAAAGAGGGTTGGATTTGAGGCGTACCAACAGATGTGGGCATCTCCCCCCACTGCAGGACCACGTCCTTTATTATACGTCCATAGGTGTTGACATAAACCCCTTCGTCCTCGTAGCAAAGCAGCATCTCCATGCCGTCAGAGTTGGGGAGGAACACGATCGCGTGCGGGGTCACTTGGCTCTGGATCTGTTTGGAAATGAACCACCAAGTTATGAGCTGTCAGGAGGTCTCACAACAAGAAGTAAGGCTTCACAACTAACATGAACAGGGATGTAAATATCATAGTTGTTTCCAGAGTCCACGTCGATAGCGTGAAACCCAGCGCAGGAACCGTAGATGACCTTCAACCTCTGGCCTTCTTCTACTGTCAGGTCGACCAGCACGGGCCTATGTGGCAGGTCTGCAAAAGACTGGTTTAAAGGGTATTTGGGAAGCACAAAGAAAATTAGGAGGAAACATTAAAAAAAGAACACCTTCCCTGACTGAATGATCTTCAGAATTTGATCTCATGGGAACACAGAGCCCTACCTTGAAAGCCATGAATTTATGATAAGGTTTGGGTGCCCAAGCATAAACCTCCACCGCGTTCTTTAAAGCAATCACCAGGAACTTTATCCTCTCGTATTTCACTAGGCAGAACAACAGTAAGGCCCACTGGGATTAGACAATCAATCACTAATTCACCATGCTACACGTAATCCCCGTCATCTCTAAGGGGAAGTTAAAGATGGCCGACAACCTTCTGAAACTCACCCACTTTGTAGTGAACACAGCCCTCCATTTCCCCCACAGTGGTCCAACCTTGCTTCTTTTCCACCTCCGGGTCGTTGTGGAGGATCTTATTCCTCAGCCATGCCAGGTAGTACACACGTACCTTGTTCTTCTTACCTTCAAAACAAACAAGAACCTTATCAAAGCGCTATTAAATGTGATTGGAACATGGAAGAGAACATCTGTTAAAAGTCCGTATTTAAAAGTTGGAAATGTGGAAAGCTACTGTAAGCAAAGCAGACATATTTTTATTTATTTATTTATTTATTTTTTTTGGAATGCACATTTTGCCAGCATTAAAATCGTGCTGCTCTCTGCATGTCCTCAGATGGCGTGTACCATCACTAGCCGACATTGGGGCTGGGCGATATGAAAAAAATCTGATATCACAATATAGTTAGCTATAATCACGATATATATCATACGTTTAAATTACGTTCAAAAACAATAGAGTGCATAAAAGCTACACTGATATCCATATTTAAACTTTTGGTTTCAAATTTTAATCTTTTAGTTTAACCAGCTCAAAACCTTTCTGCCATATGATGTCTATGGGTGTCAGTATTAGACCTTTAACAAGATCCAAGCAACTAAACAGGGAGGGAAAAGAAAAAAAAAAGAAAAAAACACCCCACACAATACTAAATAATCTGCTAAATAAAAAAAGGGATATTTTGTGCATGATTAAAAAAATGCAGAATGAAAAAAATAATTTGACCTCAAATTACAAAAACAAAAGTGGAACTACTGTCCAAAAAGAAGAGAATCACCAAACTGATAGCATTGATCTTTACCTGCTGGGAATTTTAAAGAAGCACAAAAAGTTTTAAATTTGACAACATTGTCAAGTTTAGAAAACGGCTGCAAAACCTCTGAAAATGACCACATCAAATCACAGGTATTAGAGCATTTCAAAAACATTTAATTAACGTAATAAATAGCGTCTGTGATTTGCCTCCATCTCTTCCTTTTTCTCTCCTACGGGATCACTTTTTCAAACGACGAGGCCAACGTCATCGGCTTCACAGCTGATTTATTTAACCTTTTAAACTGGTGTGCAGGGAGAAACTGGCGTGGAGTTTATAACATTCATTTTGCATCAGATTACTTTTTAGGTGTTGGAATAAATTTGTACTGCTACCTTTTGCAGCAATGGTTTTGCAGCCCGTCTTAAAAATGCGTGAAATCCAAACCACTGCCATATTATTGCTCAGCTGAAACACCTGTCAACCAAATTTCATTTGCCAGTTGCTGTGGTGTGTATGCCGTGCAGAAGTGTTCAGGAAAAGTAAAACTCTCAGTAAAAGAGAAGCAGACGGGTTAATTTTGTCATATGAATTTGTACTCTATGGTTGCAATAGTCATTTTCACGACTGTGTGAGGGGAAACTTAAGATACATCGAGTTATATGATATATCACCCATCATTAGCCGACATGACAAAGTTATTACATCTTGCTTAATTGCAACTCATTCTATTAAATCTTGCTCCATTACTGATTGTCAGTCTGCGTTAGCCATCCTTCTCTACTTCCTCTGCATAGCACGTTACACTTTGCACCGCTTGGTTAATTAATTTGACGCCAACTGAAAGATCACAGAACTTACATTAAAATGCAAGGCAGTGAAAACAAAGCCCAGACAAACTGCGGGCAGTTTTAACATAATGAAGCACAATGTTACCGAAGGCCTTAATGAGACCTCTGATCAGCAAACATTGAGGTAAAGGCAGCAGGAACTTTTCTTTCCATATCAGGTCAGTAAAGTTAGTTTAAGGCAGCAACAGACAAATCAATGTTAAAGCCACACTTTCCATAATTATGGACGCAGTTATGCTAGCTGGGACTGAACTCATGACCAATGCTTTTCAGTTATAAAAGCAGATGAGTGAATATAGTATATAAATGTAATATAATGCAAGAAAATTATGCATATTTTTAAAATCATGTATATAATCAGAATGAGTTTTAACATTTAAAATTTTAAAAAAACATGCTGAATGCTTTCGATGCAGTTTATCACCACACGTGTTTATGATTAATGAGGCAATGCGAGCTTGTTCAAAGCCAAGCAAACAGTGTTATGACAAAAACGGGAGAAGTTTTTGTTAATTCTTTTAACTTTAAGCCACACTTTGCCACATCACAAACCCAATCTGTGGATTCTTCTTGGCTGATAACAGGAAGCTTCTATTTCTGGTCAGCCGATTGGCCACAAAAACTAGGAATCAAAAACAAAAAAAACAAAAAGGACTAAATGGTTAGAACTGGTTCTGATAGATTAACTATTCTTGATGCTAAACCCTTTACAGGACCCAGTCAGAGACAAACCTGACAGTATCAAGTTACATAGGTAGGTTTTTGAACAGGGCAGCCTACATGGAGGCTTGATATGCAAGTGCTGAATATAAACCTGAAAAAAGGTAAAAGGCGATGTAGTCTTGCTTTAAATAAATGTGCAAATAAATGAATAATCCAAGTATAAAACAATTTGCAAATATTTTAAGTGTGTCTTATGCATTTAGTGTTTTAAGTCAAAATAACTATCTACAGCACATAAATGACACAAACACTAGTCTTTAGTACGGATACCAAGCCAGATTAGTATTGTATCCGAATGCAGTGTTTAGAAAAACATTGAACTCCTAAAAGAATGGATATTTTTAATTAGCAAATTCCTTACATAGTTCTGCACCAAGTCAGAGGAGGTAAAAGTTTTTTCTAAAACATTTTTGCATAGGAGTTGTTGTAATTCTGAACCAGATTAGCTTTTTTTTAAAACACAACCTGGAATCTGCTGCTGCATTACCACTTTGAACAGTTCTACTAATGCCTAAGTGTATAAATTAATTAACTTTCTTCCCAGATATAGTTTCAGACATCAGAAAACAATAAAAAGGAAAATTTTAAAAAGGAAACTCACAACGAACACCCTCTCTTCAGTGTGTACGCAACACCCACAACATGTATCCATATATCCAATGCAGATCAATGGAAAAATGTACAAAACTAACAAGAAGCCCCAGGTCAGATGTGGCTACTATGTATCTTGCCACCATCAGTGTGTGCATGAATAGGTGAATGACTAAATGTAGTGTAAGGCACTTTGGTCAAGTCTCCTGACTTGAAAAAGCGCTATACAAGTACAGGCCTTTTATCATTTACCTCAGATAGTAGGAAAAAAAAAACTGCCTGAACAGGGGTCTGAAGAATTAAAAAATGCGTTTCCCTCTTCAGCATCTTATAAAAACATTAAAAGAACAATAATCTCCCCGTTCCAGGTTATTTTCTAATTACCAGGTACTGGTGCGTTTTAGTATTCTTTTTTTGAATTTCCATAAAAAAAAAAAAAACGCAATTTTTGCTCTAAACGATAATGGAACACAATTCACTGCATATTTTCTCTGCAAGTAAAGGAAAGCTGATGCTAACATTTTGGCCAATGATCTCTAAATGTCCATAGGGCTTTATATTGACAACTCACTTGGTCATTTGTTGCAATCTTGGTTTCGTGTCAAAAACCGTCTTTTTGGCGCCCTCATCAGATTTGATTAGTCTACTGTGTCCGATTCTATTGGTTCCAATATAGTGATGTCACCTAGAAAAATGGAACTTAGTATTTAGAGACGGTTTTATACCTCACAGCAGCAGAGCTACTATCATTACTAAGTGGAGTTGGAACAGGAAGCTTTGGGATTTTGCTGTTGATTTTCAGGTTAGCAATTTATTAGCTTAAGTATAACTAGCATTTATTAACTAAACCGAACTATGCCCCACCCTAACACCTTTCCTATGCGTTTGGTACACCAGGCACCGTCTGATTCACAAGACAAGATTTTAAAACTGTCAGGTTTTTTGTTTTTAACTCAGACCCATGACAATAAAATCTGAGATAAAAACAGGCGTGGTACCACTGCATGGTGAGCACAGCAGAACACACAGGAATTTCATGCAAGAATTTCTGACTTAAGATTGAAAATCTTCCAAAGTCTCAAGGTAAGAGTGAACAAACATGGCCAATGAGCAAGGAGCAGTGGAGAGTGGAGCGGAAATCAGCACATTTATCTTGTCCTTCACCGGCAGCTGAAGATGATTAAAAGCTATTGTACCCGATATGGTGATGAGCAGGTTGAGCCCCTCCAGAACATCCATCTGCTGGAACCTCCGGGAGTTAATGAGTGGGTAAACTTTTCCTTGACCACTACGGTCCAGCAGCTTCAAGCCATTCTCCGTGCCCACCAACAGATTCACACCTGCAGAAAAATACATCCACCTCTAAATAACCGAGATCTTGTGAGGAAGTATTCTAATACGGCTTCCGGTAGCCTAAAAATAACAGCAAGGATTCTTTGGGGGTTTTCAACCAAAACAACTATTCCATTAAACACATCTGGTTGACTAGCTTTATTATGTAAACAGACAATTCTTTTCATTCTCACCCCACAGCGCAGCACACAGGATCTCAGAGTTGAAGCGCTTCTTGTACTTGCGGATCTCAGGCGTGTCATTCGGGGGGCGTGTGTTGGTGGGGTTCACATTCACCATGGATCCTTTCCGCACTTCCATCTTCAGCTGCTCAAATCTAGAGCCTGAAGAACAAGGAATCAATATTATCATTGAGCCCCTATAGACAGGTGAAGGTAACATATCAGCAGCAGCCTAAATATAGCCAACGTGGTTTATGTAGAATGCAAATCTTGGTCTTCACATGTGCCTCTGGTAAAAAGTTATTTGGAACGTTAACTAAACATGATCCATATAGAATTATGCTGATAAACTCAGTAAATTTAAAACAGTTTGGTTGTTCAGTAAAAAACAAATACAGGCATATTGGTGTATTTTACAAACAAAATATAAGAAATTCCAACATCTGACCTAAACTCATAAAGTCATGTCTGATTCAACAGGAGATTAAGGAACAGAGATTAGTAGAGTTATTAATAAATATAATTTAAGCATAATTGCAGAAAATGACAACTGAATGCATTTATTTACATTATGCAAAACTAAAATTCTATAAAAATTAAATATTTAATTCATATTTTTAATTTCATACCATAAAACAAGATACATTTATTAAACATGGACACACGTCAAAGGATTATACAGTTAAGTGATTTTTTTGTGTTGTTTTTTTGAACCAAATTTGAAACTCAGTGATTTGGAAACAACAATGGCTGTAAAAATTTATATTTCTAACACCAATCCCTTATTCCAGGAACTTGTAGCAACTCATGGGAAATTTCAGGAAACTGTAACTTTAAGGGGTCAACGTGTGTGTTTTCAAACATCATATCCATAAATCAAACAATACACCTGGAAGTTATGTGATGTTTGTATAAAGACTTCAGGTTGAATGCAGCTGCCAACAGCTGCAGCCATCATGTTAGGCACAGATCCATTAAATACTTGCAGACTTTGACCAGAACCTTCTTGAGTAGCTTGTTTTTACACTGAATTAAAAGGTTTCGGAAACAAAAAAACTATAAATTAATTCAATGTGGCGCCTATCTAAAACAGATTCATATTTACTCTGAGCAGACGTTTGAGGCCATTTGAAAGCTTCTGACTCACCGCTGATTGACACGTTATCCCCTGTACCACCTGGTGACTGGTACATGCCAAGATCCACAAAGGTGGTGAAGGAAGACTTGCCCGAGGCTTTCACCAAACCCCTGGACTGATACTGGTGAAGCGGAAGGAGTGCAGTATGTTATGGTGAAGTCGATAGAAAATTGATTTTGAACAAAAATTTAGAAAATAAACTCATATGGCACGTTACCAATACACAAATCATAACGGGAACAGAGAAAACTAATGGTGCTTATTGCACATTTCAAGGCTGAAAGGACGACCGACATAGCAGACATAAAAATAACCCTGGAATCAAGGCCTGATATACTTAGAAGCAGTGAAACTTGCATCATAAACAGAGTCCTTTCCTGGAGAGGAGTGAGAGGCTGAATCCGTGGGAGAATGTGACGGCTGCACCACATCTGGTAAGTTCGTGTATCCATTATGGCTCCTCTTCTCTGGGGTCTTCCAGGTAAAACAAACACACACAACTCATTATGTAATGATGACGCCACAGATTTAAATCTGGGCTGCAACCTCATAAAACATTATCAACCGGGGGGGAAAAAATTAACTACTTAAAAATCCCTAAGGACCCCCAAAAAAAGAATAGAAATGCCTTTACAATTTGAGACTATTCTAAAGGTTTCTATAAAGTTTTCATCTGACAGTCTAAACATTTTATTTTGACCAACCAGGACTTCTAGCTGTCAGACTAAACATGAAAGGAAACATCTCAGTTTTATTGAGTAACATTAAAGAAATATTTTCTGAAGCAACAGGATCTAAAGAGACCAACTGAAAATGAGCTCTGAGACTTAAACATGCAAATTAGATGAAGATTAACTGATGGTGATGAAGTATCTTAAAGCTCAGGTTAACCTTTGAGGAAAGTGTTTTACTTAACGACATAAATCCTGAATATTGAATATTCTGTAGCATTAAAGAGGGAAAAGATATCTACGTCCCAATCTGCAGTACAAGTTACATTTATAGCAGAATGTTTACTTTCTCCAGATCTCTGAGGTGAATTTTATTCATTTACAGTTAACAAAAAACTAAATTTCGTGACCAAAGACAGTCACTTATTTGTTTTCTCCAATTTTATTTGATTTTTTTGTTTTGTTTTCATTCTTTTACACAATTAAAAAAGATTTTAAAGTTCCGATATTTTTTTCAAATTTCTTTTTCAAATTGGGTTTCATGAATTACATTCTTCTCAAATTGGGTTTGACAGATTACATTTTTGTCCCTCCAACCAATTACAAATTGCTTCTCTTTATGCACAGATTAATTAATAGAAATATATGATTAATTAATGAATTTGTAAAATTTGGGGGGAAAAAAAGATTAAAAGAAACTGAAAACATAGATGTATTTTTTTTTAAAGCAAGCATTTTAAAAAGAAAATGATCTTTTAAAAATCTGAGACAACAGCAAATTTAATCTTAAAACATTTGTCAAAGTTTCATTTATGGGTTGAATTATTTATTTCAAATTTCCATTTACATAACCTATTTTCTGCCTTAATTAATACAAAACATCTCCTCCATGCAGACCAAGTAAAGAAGACAGACAAAGACACTGGCAGAGGGGGTTTAACAAGGAGTAAAAAGCAGGGGTTCTGGAAACAGTGCTGCTACACAGATTGGTGAATTTAAATAAAGTAAATACCAAATCTAACTAGAAAATTTCTAAAGAAATTTTGAGGGGGGCCACCTACTGCCCGTCTGGGTAACTGGGCCAATACGGCCCTGGCAAGTGACATTGGGGCTCCCCAGACCAACTGCTTACGCCTTTGAGGGCTGCTGAGGGAAGGAAAGAGGGCTAGGTCATGGGCAAAGAGAGCTGTGTGCCACTTGTGCTGAAATCTGGGAAATAGACGTGCACAGCATATGATGCACAAGGGTAATATGGGTTGTCCATATTGAACCGCAGTGGGTAAAGCGCAGTTGGCGGGCTCCGCCCGCCTGCTAGGAGCCCTTGCAGCGATGAAAAAAATCACCAATGGCGGGCTCCGCCCGCCTGCTAAGAGCCATTGCAGTGATGAAATCACCATTGGCGGGCTCCGCCCGCATGCTAAGAGCCATTGCAGTGATGAAATTACAAATGGCTATGAGCAATATGCCAGAATGTATGAGTGTGTATAAGGAAGAGGCTTTTATTCTGTAGAGTCCCTGTAGTGTTATTTTGAAAGTCTATCATGGATGTGCATCAAAAGATGGGTCATGCCCAGCAGTGATATAGAATCCATTTCCAAATGTTAAATCACTGGTTTTCCATGTTATTAGGTGAATAGCTGCTGTATTACAGAGTAAATGGGAGACTTTTATTGTGAAATTTGCTCTGGGGTGTGTTTTGAAAAGGTCACTAGAGTCTAATAAAAACAACCTGGAAGAGTTTGGGTCATAATGTTGAGCCATTTGCATCAATTATTGCATTAGTATAATCTAGAGGCTTTTATTTTGTAGGGTCCCTGGAGTCTTATTTTGAAAGTCCAACAGAGTTGTGTTTAGAGAAAATGTTCAGACCCAGCAATGATAGTTGATGACTTTCCAATCGTTAAATCACTCTTTTTTCCATGTTATTAGGGCAGTAGATGAAGATGAAATGGGAGGCTTTTATTTTGAAATTTGCCATAGGGTGTGTTTTAAACAGTCTCCTAGAGTCTATTCTCTAAAATGGGGTTGAGTTTGGGTCATAATGTTGAGCCATATAGGGCAATAAATATATGTAAAAAATATAGAGGCTTTTATTTTGTAGGGTCCCTGGAGTCTTATTTTGAAAGTCTATCAGTGTTGAGTGGCAAGGGAAGTGTCATGGACAGCAGTCATATAGTATCCATTTCCCAATGTTAAATCAGTGCTTTCACCCTCCATTAGATTAATATGTGCTGTTTAAAACAGCAGAGGTAAAATCTGTTTGAAGCACGGTTACCTTGACAACGCTTAACGAGCCTGTCAGTGACAGAGAGAAAAGCGCAGCACTATCGTTCCTTAGCTCTCAGGCTTTTTTGAATGGGAGCAACAGCTCCGAACAAACGACTGCTTAGCAAAAACCGTATGAGTTATTCAAAAAATTTCTTCACCGTGAGCATCAGCAATCCTTCGACTCCAACTATGCCAACTTTGGTGTATGTGTGTCATTCAGAACAATATTTATGACGAGTTTAAAACACATAATGTCATTCGTTTTTCTCCCCACTGCTGCTCCAAAACCAATGGAAAAATGCTCTGATTTTCATCGACTTTAGGTCGGTCTGGAGGGTTTTTAAGGAAAAGTATTAATCCTACCGTAATTCCGAAGACATTGTGTGAGTCCAGAGGTTTCAGCCTACAAACTGACCAAAAATGGTGACTGTAGCTCCAAATATGTGGCCGTGAGGCAAGAACAAAATGTTTTATCTTAAAAAAACGACAGCCTGCTTCACTGCAGCAGGCTGCTGCAGAAGCTAACTGTCAGCTAGCTTCCAGGTGCTTACCCTCCAAACAAACGACTGCTGAGCAAAAACCGTAAAAGGTATTTGAAAAATTCTTTCAGTGAAAGCAACATCTATCCTTTGTCTCAGACTGGGGTAACTTTCATGTCTGTAGGTCTTTCACAACCCAAAACGAAGCACAAACAAAATGGCTGATCCCACCTGCTCCTCCCTTTGTTTTAACTGCAGCACTCACTCTCACTCACCTTTAAGCTGCTAAAGCACCCCTCCGAACAAACGACTGCTGAGTAAAAACCATAAATGATATCTGAAAAATTATTTTTATCTAAGCGACAGCTATATCTTGTCTTCAATTGGAGTAACTTTCATGGCTGTAGGTCATCTACAACCTGAATGGGAAGAGAAAGAAAAAGAAAAAACGTTTCCTCACACCTGAGCTTCTAATTGAGCTAGCTGCAGCAGCTCACTGTCACCCAGCTTTCTGGTGCTTAAAATGTCCTCCGAACAAACGACTGCTGAGCAAAAACCGTATGAGTTATTCAAAAAATTCTTTCACCGTGAGCGTCAGCCATCCTTCGACTCCAACTATGCCAACTTTGGTGTATGTGTGTCTTTCAGAACAATATTTATGACGAGTTGAAAACACATAATGTCATTCGTTTTTCTCCCCTCTGCTGCTCCAAAACCAATGAAAAACGGCTCTGATTTTGATCGACTTTAGGTCGGTCTGGAGGGTTTTTAAGGAAAAGTATTAATCCTACCGTAATTCCGAAGACATTGTGTGGGTCCAGAGATTTCAGTCTACAAACTGACCAAAAATGGTGACTCTAGCTATAAATATGTGGCCGTGAGGGCGAGTTTAAAATGTTTTTTGGTCTTAAAAAAACGGCTGCCTCACACTCTAGCTTTTCAGTCTCTCCACTCTAGAAGGCTGGATTTTGCTAAAACTTTGTGGCGCTTGAGGTCTGATTATACAAAAACCGTAGCAGTTATCAACATGCCGTCTTCAGTTTTAAATAGACGAAGGATTTATCTACAAACTGAGCTTTAAACTGTTTTTCTACGTGAATGTATGCCGACACAGTGAAGTGCTGTTTTTTATGCTTTTTTTTCCTCTCCCCATTCATTTCCTATGGGAATTTTTTGCGACGTTTTCGCTAATAATTCGCAAACCTTCGGACTAATGAGAAAGTTTTATACAAGCACGCATCGCCCCATTGGTCCCGACGCGTGTGCCAACTTTGGGCCCGATCCGACGAATGGTGCGTGACTAGTTACGCGCCGAAGTTTTTGGTGGCGAGGAGAACTATAAGCTATAATAAAAACTAGAAAATTTCTAAAGAAATTTTGAGGGGGGCCACCTACTGCCCGTCTGGGTAACTGGGCCAATACGGCCCTGGCAAGTGACATTGGGGCTCCCCAGACCAACTGCTTACGCCTTTGAGGGCTGCTGAGGGAAGGAAAGAGGGCTAGGTCATGGGCAAAGAGAGCTGTGTGCCACTTGTGCTGAAATCTGGGAAATAGACATGCACAGCATATGATGCACAAGGGTAATATGGGTTGTCCATATTGAACCGCAGTGGGTAAAGCGCAGTTGGCGGGCTCTGCCCGCCTGCTAAGAGCCATTGCAGTGATGAAATCACCATTGGCGGGCTTCGCCCGCCTTCTAAGAGCCATTGCAGTGATGAAATCACCAATGGCGGGCTCCGCCCGCATGCTCAGAGCCATTGCAGTGATGAAATTACAAATGGCTATGAGCAATATGCCAGAATGTATGAGTGTGTATAAGGAAGAGGCTTTTATTCTGTAGAGTCCCTGTAGTGTTATTTTGAAAGTCTATCATGGATGTGCATCAAAAGATGGGTCATGCCCAGCAGTGATATAGAATCCATTTCCAAATGTTAAATCACTGGTTTTCCATGTTATTAGGTGAATAGCTGCTGTATTACAGAGTAAATGGGAGACTTTTATTGTGAAATTTGCTCTGGGGTGTGTTTTGAAAAGGTCACTAGAGTCTAATAAAAACAACCTGGAAATGTTTGGGTCATA